TTTGCTGGTAAGAGAACAGATTCAGATTCCTCATTTTGGTGGTATTTTTCTGTGTTTCGTTTAGTTTTAGCCGAATCCGATCCCATGCCCGGACTACTAATACATGCAAAACATGTGAACGCCGCCAGGCGTTGTCGCCTGCCATCTTGATACAAAGTTCCAAAACAAGTGCGTACATTTCCAACTATGATTGGATGGTTGTGGTGGCGTCGGTCTGGTAAAATTTTACATCAATTTTCAAAATTAAATTTTCAATATTTTCGAATAAAAACGAGCCACAGGCCTGGTAAAAAATCGAATAGCACATGACATGCAGAAATAATTTATTGGGCTTCAGAAAAAATGTTCATTTAGTTGTAGCCGTAAATCAACCCCAATCTGGTTTACCTTATTTCCCAACTTGCAAAACTGATTTGTATCTCCGCCCAGTTTTTTTTTTTCTTTTTTCGAACTGAGGTCAAATCCCAGCTGTTTGTCAAAATATATCGATGTTTTTCAGTGAATGATTGTGAAGCCTGTCACAGCACAGTGAATCGACGCCGGAGATTGGACAGTACGACGACCCTTAAATTAGCGTCAAATATGCTTTGTTACAACATCATTGATTTGCTGAAAGTCACCTGATCGGAGCACGACCTGGGTCACAGAACCATATTTGTCCGTATTATCATTGGGACTTTGCGAGAGAACCACACCCACATTTTCAACCATTTTTAGCGCGGAAGTTGCCAACAAATGTCGAAAAACTCGTGAATTTTATGGATTTGAATAAAATAAAGCTAGCGATTGGTAAAACTGGTTAATCCCCCCGATGCTCTTCAAATTTTTTTAATTTTATTTCAAGGCGAGAAATGGATAATTGAAGTTCCATCGAATTCAAGGCGATTGTTTCACCGCGACAACTCCTACGCTGTGTTGTAGTTCCACGAGGTAAAAAAATATATATAATAAATAGAACATGTTTAATTATTTGGTTTTACAGCCTGCAAATTACGGGACATGATCCCCATGAATTACGATAAATAAATGCTGATTGTGTTGAATAATGGACGTCGGGCCGTTTGGAGAAACCAGCGGGAATCGATATTCCAAACAAATTATTGGG